TCTTTCCCTGCATGTATACACACTTTAAATGTACTTTGATGCCAGCAGAGACACCATTTCTGCTTGACTTAAAGAAGCCAGTAACTACCTATTACTCAAATTTCACTGCAGTCTGCAAAAGTTATTTCCAGTATAAGACGTCACGAAGCAGTGCTCACACTCCTGGCACCTAATGGCTCTGCTGACAATTAGAACAGACCAGGCTTAGAAGTCATATACACTGCGTAAAAGCTTTCATCAGTACTTACTGCTGGGCCAAATTTCTGCTGGAAACAATCAACAACTGTGTATTCCACACGCTCTTCTTCCTTCTTCTCTAAAAGGAAGGAAAAAAAACCCAACCTAGACACTTCCTCTACTTGAATAAACTTTACACAAGGTATGTGTTTTAGTTGTATTATCACTCTACTTTTGTGGTTGTGCTGTTCAGTTCTTCTTTCTCTCCTCCCTGAACACACTCACACATATTATTGAACTGATGTGTACTGATGTGTAAAGTCTAGAGCATGAGCCAAAATTCTGTTTTCTTACAGAAAAAATGGATGTTTAAAAGTGAGTTGCAGCATTACTTTTTGCTGTTATAATGCATAAAGGAAACAAAAGGGTTTCAGTTTAAAAAATACATCTATGAAAAAAAAAGCACCCTAATTCGCAGGGAAGGGAAAAGATTGTAACAAAGACAAAACTAACAGACAGTGACACCACAGAACACAGACCACTAAGTGATCAAAGGGGTAAAGCAAATTTAAACCAGATTTTAGTATTTTAACACCTGCTTAACAATGTCTAATATACAGGTAAAGAAGGGTTCTCTTAAAGATTCTCCCTTCTCTTTAGGTAAGATGCAAATGTTAATGATACGCATCCATGACAACACAAAGACAATCTTCTAAACTCTAACAGTCCATTGAAAGATCATAAGAACAAATTTTTAAAGGCTCTCCCAGATCACATCAACCTTCGCTCATTTTCTCCCCGACTACTCAGGTGAATGCAGCTAGCCTTCCTTTAGCCTATACAGATCTTGCACTCTTGTCACGGCTCTACAAAAGCAGAACGAGCTGATCACATTTTGGATCTGTACCTGTATATGCGTATACAGCAGGACCACAGAACCAAATCAATCCAAGTATATGACTGCCAGCACAGAACCAAAGAGCAACAGTCTTACTGAGCTTTGAGTTATCTATCATGCCACATACATTTCAGGAAAAAGTAGAAGATTAAAACAATCACCAGGGAGGAATGCTCACAGGCTGAAGCACTTTCATTTCTCCAAAAGATCAGTTGTGCTGCTCAGCTGCTTTTACAGTTGATGAGAGCTACAGGATAAACATTCTGGAAAGCAGATGAGTTTCCTTCTGATGTTGTGAACGTATCTGCAGGCAAAGAGCACTGTCTGCAGATAACGAGCTATATACCTATCTTTCTGTGACCATTGTTCTTTCAGAACACATCCTGTCCTGATACAGGCAAACCAAAAGATCACAGCCTCTGGGAAAGCTGTTGCTCGACAAAGTAACTACATAGCTTGATTAATATCCACATTACCCGAGAGGGAGTATTTTAAGCTATTTGAGGCTTCGAGCTGGCGCTCCGGGGAAATGCATGGAGAACTCTGTGGTCCACAGTCTGCTGGTGCTGTGACTGCTTGTTTGTTCCCTTCAATGGCTGAAGAGCACCTGCAAGAACAAGGCAACCATACATAGCACAGAAGTCAAAACATCACATATTCCACCAGCACGGATGCTTTAATAAAGAAAATTATTTAATCCAATGCCATCTACCTGTGTCCAGACAATGAACTGCTGCATGTGAAGCAACTTTCTAATCCAATGTGCATGGTTCTTAAAGAAGATCTTGAAGCTACCCAACAATAAGCTTATTTTGCACAAAAGGGCCTTTATTTGGGATAAAATTTCACCTTTATTCTGAAAGTAAAAGGTGAAAGCAGAACCTGAACTGCAAAGTTCACTGCAAAGGTCAGCAACAGTTTCAAGGGAAGAAAGAGTTCAAAATACAAAGAATGAAGTACCTGACCTGAGCCCAAGAACCATGCAATTTAAATATCTCTAAGTCTTTACACTGAATCAATAATATTTGATCCATTATTTAATTACTGTAATTGGAGGGTGATTTTACAAGTTCATCAATATGTAAAACTGCTATATCCACTGAAACTTTACTGTAATCAAATGGAAGTTATTAAATCATACAAAATGGTAGTATGTCAGGACCAAAAAAAAATAGAGTCAGCAAACATTCACCTGACTGAAAGATGTCACATATAAGAGGCTTAATTTCTATGGCAGAACAGTCTGAGGTCAAGAATACTTCTCTGGGAAATACAACTTGGTAGTATAAATTTCCTTATATTGATATAAAAACATCCCATTGTGATTACAGAGCTCAAATCAAGTACATCTCTATCTCAATATAATAAAACATAACTTTCTGGTCAGCCTTTAGAAGTAGCTGAAGAATCTTGTATCTAAAACTGTGTATTTAAAGGACTAACATAGGAATTTGCTACCAAAGTGAGCATATTCAAGTATGTGTGCACATAGGCTTATTTACCAGGGAGAAAAAAGACAAAACAGTAGCAAGCACGAAGACTGCTACTAATCACAATTCTGTGTGGTTTTTAACTATATTTTAAGGACCATTCAGTAGACACTTCATTCTTGCTTCTCTTAAGGGGAAGAATAAACTATTCAAAGATGGTCTTGTGAGGAGACTCAAAGCAAAGCCATCTAGGAGCAGGGGTCTGCCAGTTTGAAACATATTTTTACCAGCTTCCCCAAGTCACATTTATATACATTTTCAGAGCATCTGTATAAACCTAACATTCCCTGTGCAATTCTCCTCGAACTGTTCCACCACAGAAGTGCTCACGGGAAACCCTCCCTGAAACTGCAAGCTGACATGGAAACAAACCAAGCAAATTATTCTACCTAGGAACACTAGTGGGAAAGAAACAAAAAAAAAAAAAAAGAAAAAAGAAAAAAGCAAGAGAGAGAAACTGTAAGCAATAGCTTGGAAGAACCTTTTACACAGTGCAGGTCTTCCACTCACCACCTTGTTCACCTCTTTAGAGCAGAGAAATTCAAACGTGGCACAGATGAGTCTGAACATCAGTATTATACTAAATGTAAGCAGTGGCTCCCCTAGCAAGTGCATTCCTACCCCTTCTCCTATCAAGAAAGGAAGGAAACATTTCAACATACTCAGAGAGCGTTGCCATTTCCTTCCCTGAATCTTGTTCATCCAGCAATTCCACTGCAATAGAAATCAACAATTTATACTCTAGTGCTGATGAGCAACTTTTTGATACTTGTTATCTACCAAAAAAGAACCATAACTGATACTAACCACAATAGGACACAGCCATACATGCAAAAAAAAAAAAATTAAACTCAAAGTACAGCTTACATAATGATGTACAAATCTGTATAAGTAACTTACATCGGTAGCCTAGATACAGTGTCTTTCAGAACTCCAGCACCGGCTTAGCATCCCACCAAAAACAAAGTCAGTATCAAAGTACAACTAATTACTTTACAAACTACTACATATATAATAAATCAGGTAGAAGGAAAAAGGCAGAACAGATTCAGTTAATCACTTGATAAATCCAACAGCTGCCTTCTAGCTATTCCCCCCTCAGCACTTTGCTCTTTGTCCCCAAAGCAAGGCTGATGCCAAAAGAAATGCAGGGGTCCTTTACATACTAAAAATGTTTTTCTTAAATAATTCCATATTCTTATCACTAGTGTATCACAGAAAGAGGCTGAGATAAACAGACCATTTAATAGAGATGCTTTTGTCTGCGAGAGCAAAAGCAAGACCTAGTTACCTAGAACGTTAAGCAATTTAACTTTCTAGCAGAGTCCATTAATGAAGGTCTTGCGCATATAAGGACATACACAATGAGCGTAACTTGCCTTCAGGATGTAAGCAGGGGGCACGGTTATCTCAGCTCATTACCTTTGGAGTGGCTACTTTCATTAGTGATCTTATCAGACTTTATGCATTATTTAATAAGCTTTAATGCAGTACAGTCACAAGACCTTCACAAAGTGGGGAATTATTATTTCACTGACAGATAATTGGGTAACAAAAGTTGTGTGATTAATACAACATTCTAATTCCTACTGATTTTAGAAAAAAAAAATAACTGAAGAACTCAACAGAGTGACCAAAAACTGGGTTAAAAATGCTGAACTATGAGTGGGTATAATCCCCGTACCCCAAAACAGGGTAAGAAAGGCCTCACCATTGACTATTTCACAGTCAAAAAACATCTTTATTCCTGGAGTGCTTCTGCCAGTTTCCAAGTTCTTCACTGAAATACGGGAGGGGAAAAAATGCAGACATACATCAAGTTCCACTGTTTGGGGTAAGAGCTTGTCATTTGCAGAACAAAGAAAGACCGTTAGACCAGGTAGTACTATTAACAAGAAAAAAAAAATAAACAAATGGGTTATTTTAAATGACAACTCTGTCACTCTACAGAAGAAGCCTTCCAGAGCTCTGTGTGGGACTCACAGTCCCACAGCTGAGAACACAGCCAGGTGCACCACCTTCCACCTTAACTGTGTGTCTTCTTCACCCCAGCACCGGTTTTGGCTCCCGGGAAGCACCCCTAGGCCCTCAGTGAGCAGCCCCACA